AGGGGAATCCTTTGGAAGGTTTTAAGGAGGAGTGTAACACTCTGGCTGCTTGCATTCCTAGCTTGCTGTATCATCTTGGGCAAATGAATATACCTCTCTGAACTTTAGTTTCCTGACACTGTTGTGAGGATCAAATGAGATCACACAAGAGAGTGAGTTAGAACTGTGCCTGGCCCAAAGAAGTAGCTATAGAAACGTCAGTTTCTTTTGCTGGTTGTTCACTAGGGGCAATGACTGGTAAATGCTGACACTAAAACAAACTGGAGAAGTGGAACTGACATGAACTTTCTGGAAGGCAGTATCAGCACATCCTTTGACAAGGGGCTACCTCCCTTGTGGCCTAGGGAAACAAAGAGAAACAGAGACAAAATGTATACCGAAGATGTTTGTCACAATGTCATTTACACATGGAAAAACTGGAAACAACTAAATGTCTGGGGTTGGGGTGGTTTAAAGGCACTTTGGTGGGCGCCTGGGTGGCTCAGTCAGTTAAGCGTCTGCCTTCAGCTCAGGTCATGATTCCAAGGTTCTGGGATCGAGTCCTGCATTGGGCTCCCTGCTCAGTGGGGGGCCTGCTTCTCCCTCTGCCTGCTGCTCCCCCTGCTTGTGCACACTCTATCTCTCTCTCTGACAAATAAGTAAAATCTTTAAAAAAAAAGAAAGAAAAAGAAAAAAGGAATAGTTAATTTTCTACTTCTCATTTTACTTTGCTGTATTGTCCCAAGGTTTCCTCCCCGCCAAATATATATGCTTTTTTTTTTCTCTAATTGGAAAAAAAAAGAAATATATTACATTACCTGGGAAATGCCTCTTGCTAAATTCAGGAATAATTTATAAATAGAACTGTGTTAGGATGCTTGGAAGAAATGGTGTAAGGAACGCATATCTAGGAGGCTGACTGATTCCCCAGGTCATCTAATAACTATGTGTTCAGCACAAACTTTCCTAGAGGTGGCTTCTTCCAGAAACTTCCTTTCAGTTGATGGCTTGGGGTTCAGGAGAAGAAGCAGCAGTCTTTGGCAACCTGGGAACCTAGTTTTGAATGCCAGCTCTGTCATTCAGTAGATGTGTATCCTTTGGCAATGTATGTAACTTCTCTGAGATTCTGTTTTTGTGACTGTAGGAGCAGTCATGTTTACTTTGACCTTTCTTTGGATGGGTTAAGGATAAAATACATGAAGTGTCTGTCTTCCGGTGAGTCCTTGATAAATGCTAGCTCTTATACTGTGATCCTCCTGCCCCAATATTGATCATACCTTATTATAGTGTAGCCCTTTACAGTTTGCAAAGGTGTGTGGGGAGTTATGTTCATTATCTGATCCTGAAAAAAGTCTAATTTTTATTAAGATAATACCTTACCTGTATAGAGTACTTGCTATGTTTATAAGAATTATATAATAGTGGGTGCTCAGTAAGTGCTGAATGAATGAATGAATGAATGAATGAATGAATGAATGAATGCTTTCAAAGGTGGGTATAAGCAGAGAAAAAATAGTGGACTGCTTCATTGACTGGGGAATTCATTCTATGAGGCTAGATGCTGCCCCTAAAGCAAAGGTATCTCTGAATCTCCCTGTTATATTGAGGGGACCTTCAGGGCAGGCCAGGGTTCTGAAACTGCCCTGAGTCATTTTGGTGGACGCCAGAGACTGGTGTCCTGCTCTTGTCAAAAGACCGGGGAAGGGCCTTTTTCCTGCTCTGACTTGTGAAAAACTAGGGGTAAAAAGAGAGAGAGTTGGTGCCACCTGGAGGGTGAGAGTAGGCACCCCAGAGGAAGGCTAGAAAAATTCTTATAACAAAACACTTCTTTTAGTTCAGGGGCACAGGTGGGATGGTGGTGGTAAGAACGTACCCTAAAAATAAGCTCTGCTTTTTAAAAATTAAACTATTATTGAGATAATTATAGATTCATGAGCAGTTGTAAGAAATAATACAGAGAAATGCCATGTATCCTTTTTTTTTTTTAAAGATTTTTATTTATTTATTTGAGAGAGAATGAGAGACAGAGAGCACGAGAGGGAAGAGGGTCAGAGGGAGAAGCAGACCCCCTGCTGAGCAGGGAGCCCGATGCGGGACTCGATCCCAGGACTCCAGGATCATGACCTGAGCCGAAGGCAGTCGCTTAACCAACTGAGCCACCCAGGCGTCCTGCCATGTATCCTTTAACTAGTTTCCCCCAGTGGTAACATCTTGTAAAACTATACTACATAGGGCACCTGGGTGGTGCAGTTGGTTAAACATCTGACTCTTGGTTTCAGCTCAGGTTGTGGTCTTGGGGTCGTGGGATCAAGCCTCAGCGCAGAGTATGCTTGAGATTCTCTCTTCCTCTGCCCCTCCCACTCATTCTCGCTCTTTCTCTCTCTCTCTCTAATAAATTAATAAAGCTTTAAAAAAATTATAGTATATAGATCAGTTGAATAGAATCTAGAGTCCAGAAATAAACCCATACATTACTATCAATTGATTTTTGACAAAGGCAACAACACTATTCAATGGGTGAAAGAATAGTCTTTTTGACAAACGGTGCTGGGACAACTGGATAACCACATGCAAAAAAATGAAGTTGGACCCCCCCCCACCTCACACCATATACAAAAACTAAAATGGGCCATAGACCTAAAATTTAAGAGATAAAACTATAAAACTCTTAGGAAAAAACATAAGGATATATCTTCATGACCTTGGCTTAAGCAGTAATTTCTTATATATGGACAGCAAAAGAACAAGTAGCAAAAGAAAAAATAGATAAACTGGACCTCATCAAAATTAAAAAAAAACAAAAAAAGCTTTTCTTCTTCAAAGGACACTGTAAAAAAAGTGAAAAGACAACTCATAGAATGGAAGAAAATATTTGCAGATTGTAAGTCTGATAAGGATCTAGTATCCAGAATATATAAAGAAATCTTACAATTCTACAATTTAAAAAAACCCAATTTTAAAATGAGCAAAGGATTTGATTAGACAACTCTTCAAAGAAAATATACAAATGGCTGTAAGCACCTGAAACGTCATTAACCATCAAGGAAGTACAAAACCACAAAGAGATACACCTTCACACCCACTAGGATGGCTATAATCAAAAAGATAATAATAAGTGGGGCGCCTGGGTGGCTCAGTTGGTTAAGCGACTGCCTTCGGCTCAGGTCATGATCCTGGAGTCCCTGGATCGAGTCCCGCATCGGGCTCCCTGCTCCGCGGGGAGCCTGCTTCTCCCTCTGTCTCTCTCTCTCTGTCTCTCATGAATAAATAAATAAAATCTTAAAAAAAAAAAAGATAATAATAAGCATTAACAAGATGTGGAGAAATTGGTGGTGAATTGAAATTGCTAGTGGAAATATGAAGTGGTGCCAATGCTTTGGAAAATAGGCAGTTTCTCAAAAAAGTTAAATAGTTATCATATAACCCAGCATTTGTACTCCTAGGTATACACCCAAGAAAAATAAAAACATATGTCACATGAAAACTTGTATACAAATGTTCAAAGCAGCATTATTCATGAAAGCCAAAAAGTAGAAACAACCCAAATGTCCATAAACTAATGCAAGATAAACAAAATGTGGCATATCCATAAAATGGAATATTACTCAGCAATAAAAAGGAATCAAGTGCTGATTCATGCTACGACATAGGTTGAACTCTGAAAACATTATGCTAAGTGAAAGAAGCCAGACACACAAAAGGCCACATATTGTATGATTCCATTTATATGAAATATCCAGAAGAGGCAGATCCACTGAAACAGGAAGTAGATTAATGGTTGGGGAAGGGAGGGGAGTGAGGAAAGCGAATGGATACCACGTTCTTCTGGGGGTGATGAAATGTTCTAGAATTAGTGGTGATGGGTACACAACTCTTTGAATATACTAAAAACCACTGATTTGTATATTTAAAAGGGTGAATTTTATGTGGTAATATACCTCAATTTTTTAAACTAATAAAATTAATAAAAAGTAATATCACAACCAGTATACTGATATTGATACAATCTACCAATGTCATTCAGATTTTCCTAGTTTCTCTTGTACTTTCAGTACTCTGTTTCTACAAAGGACTTAGCAGTTATCCTGAAGAATATATATTAACATTTAAAAATAATAAAAAGCCTACAACTTTATATATATATATACATAAAAGCCCATAGTTAGAGATGGAGTCACCACCCACAATTCTTATTCTCAGAAAGGTATTGTACTTTTTGGCCTTGGTATATAGTTTTATAGAATTAATATAAAGACATAAAAGGATATTTTAGCCCAATACAATTCATCTGTATTTAGCCCAATTCATCTGTATTTCACCCTCTTAACATTAACAATCCAAATTTCTGAGGTTCTTTTCTGCTTTTTAACCACAAGGCATATTCATTTCACCTTAATTGTGAACACTTTTACACTCTGCTTTTTTCGTTTAATGTCTCATTTATTTTAAGAAGTTTGCATATTGCCTCCCAAGTCATCAGAAATATTCCTTTATAAAGGGCAAGGAATATTTCATCTGATAGATCTACCATAATTCCCTTAACCATCCCATTATTGCTGGACATTTAGGGTGTTTCCAATTATCTTACTGCAAACTGCTGCAGTGGGCAAGTTTATTTTCTTTTGGATGATTTCCACCGGATAAGGGGTGGTGTTACTGGTTAAGGATTTTGAGTATCTTTCTGGCTCTTGACAATTTCACGTTGGCGCAAGATCTTCCTTCGCTCTCCCTCTAGCCCCTAGCCTCAGCCTCAGCAAAGCCTAACCCTAGAGTCTGGCCCCTCCCCCTAATTCCACTCCTCCGCTATGCTGTTACTCCCTCTTTCAGTTATGGGCCTCTGCCCCACCCCCTGCCGCTCCTCTCCACCACTGGCTCACCAGGGCTCCTTCTCCTCGCCTGACTTCGAGCAGCCCCCTCCCCAGGCAAGCTGGTGCCTGACACGCATTGCAGCGCTCGGCTATCCTGACTCGGGTTTGCCGTAGCCAAATGCAGTTTGGCACGCTGGCACGCACCATCCTTACCTTAGCCTCAGGGTGTCCCGCGCAGGTGCCCAGGAAGACAAACTGTGGTGACGTTTCTTTTCCCCCTTTCAGTCCATTCCCGCCTCCAGCACTAGGGCGGTGCATCTAGTAGGCGATCGATAAATATCTAAAGTATTTTAAAAGCACATTGAAGTTTCTATGCTGGTTTTTTACTTTAGATCCCTGAAAGTTAATAAAGTACAAAACAATCTGCACCAGGATTAGATGTGATTGGGGGTGGGTGGGCAGATATGAATTATTAAGATAAAGTTAATGCATTTCATGCATGAAAGTTCATTTATTCAACAAGAATTGACTGAGCACCTACTATATACCAACATTAACTACGGCAGTGAATAAAAGACAATAAAATCAATAAAGTAAAAATACTTTAGATGGTGATTCGAGCTTGGGAGAAAAATCAGGCAAGGTAAGGAGACTGAAAGTGAGGGCGCCCCAGAAGCTGACAATAGTAACAGGTAACAATTGGGTGTCTACTGCGGGCCAGCGTGCTAGGGACCTCACCTTCGAAAGCCCGTTTAAACTAACGCCACAATGCAGTGAGGGAGGAACCACCGCTCCCATTGCACGGATAAGGAGGACGTAAGGCGCAGAGCTGGGGTGCACGTCAGCCCCGAGTCTAAGGCCTCCATCCTTCCCCGCGAACCTCCAGACCCGAGACCAGTCCCTCCCCTGCAGGGAGAGGGTTAAAGCGGGGAGCAGCCGTGGGTTGTGCGCTTGCGCAGAGCGCAGGTTGCGCTTGCGCAGAGCGCAGGGCGACGTGGCCGGCCGGAAATTGCCTGTGCGGAACCGCAGCCTGATCGCCGCTGCTCTGCACTGGTTTACAAGGGGGCTGCTGCGTTGCGCCCCGCCGGCACCACCATGCTAAAGAAATTCGACAAGAAAGACGAGGAATCGGGTGAGGGAGCGTAGGCTTGGGGGAGGCTGGACGCTAGCGCAGGCTCTCTGCACCCTCTTTGGGAGCCCTCCTTCCGGGCCTCTGCCTAGACCTGAAGCCGAGACTCAGTGAGGGACAGGGTTTGTGCCAAGGTCCGCAGCTGGTCAGTGGCAGACCTCGGAGAGCCCGAGCATGCTCCACTGCCCCCTCTCGTGAGGTCGGACCACTATTCGGGGGGTGACCTTGGGCGGGTCATGCGTATGTGTGGGCCTCAGTTTCACCAGCTGTGGCGGGGGGGGGGGGGGGAGGCGCCGGCCAGATGCACCCTTGTGACTTTCTCCGTGAGACCTCTTGGGATTCGCCGAGGCTGCGCTGCTGCTGGCCAGACTGGGGTTTAATCTGTGGAGCCAGTGTTCTGTGGCTGAGAACCCTCTTCCGTTCATTTATTCAGCAAACATCTATTGAGCGTGTACAGTATGTCAGGCACTGTACTGCGTTCTGAGACTGCAGTAGAACGAATGAGACACTCAGTGCCTTACCTGGGAGTATTACGTCACAGGCATAATGGAGAAGGTAGACACCAGCCAGATAATCACACATGTAATTAATTACAAATGTGACATTTGCTGTGAAGAAATCCTAGTCACTAGGAGATGGTGGTCCCCACACATTGTAGGGACTCAGTTAAGTACAAGTTACATAAATGAATGCAAGACAAGATGCTGTGAGAGGCACAGAAGAACTGTACCAGGGCTGCTGGGTGACTAAGTGGTTTGGGGTAGAGGGAGCTCCCTGCAGGAGAGTGGTAGGATCTATGTGCAGGTTGTAGAGCTTTGATTGCCATTCTGGAGTAATTTGAACTTGGGCTAGGTAAACAATAGTGACATCTTTTCCTTCTCAATGTCTGGAAGGTTTGCAGTTTAGGCTTACAACCTATACTCAGTCTTCTCTGTTCTGTAGGTGGAGGCTCCAACCCATTCCAGCATCTTGAGAAGAGTGCAGTACTCCAGGAGGCAAGTGTCATTTGCCCTCTTTCATCCTAAGTGTTCACAGCATGCTCAAAATACTAACACATTCAAAGTGGTGGGTTAAAGAACAGTAAGGGAGAAAACCTGTTCCTGGAAAGACAGGAAAACTTCATTCCTGGAGAGACTTCATTATGCTTGCATTTATTGTTGTTTTTGTTCTCTCTTTCTGTTTCTAGTTAACAGGTGTTTACTACTAAGTGTCTGTTAGTAAGTCCGCACATCCCTAACTAATATTTAGGGAAGATTTGAGGAGTTGTTAATAGGTGAATTAAGGAAAAAGCAAAACAAAACTGTTCCCTTATGAAAATAAGCTCATTCAGGCAAATATATTTATTTACCCTGGAACTTCTCAGACCTTGAATGTGCTTGAGGGCAGTCAGTGGGAGGGAAATAAACTAGGCTAGAAGGTAATGTTCTTTATTGCTTCTTCTTAGGCCCGTGTATTTAATGAAACTCCCATCAACCCTCGAAAATGTGCCCACATCCTCACCAAGATCCTTTACCTCATAAACCAAGTAAGAGGATGGAGCTTGGGGGTGGGGAAAATGGTGCTGGGGGTTATTGGGAGGGTTGCTAAGTCGGATAACCCTTAGGGTTTTTGTTAGCTCCTGTGTGGTTGTCATCCAGCTCTCGGTCCCCTCAGTGTCTAACTCTGATGTGTTGCCCTTGATGGAACCTCTCCAGGGTCTGGGGATCTGGCTTGGGCTAATCCGGCAGGAAGAGCCTTCTGGCCTCTCTGTCCCAGGCTGAGACTTCTATTTTGATTAAAACAGGGGGAGCACCTAGGGACCACCGAAGCAACCGAGGCCTTCTTTGCCATGACCAAGCTCTTTCAGTCCAATGATGTAAGTGCCCTCAGTCAGTGTGGTCTACTTTTGTGTGGATTGGAATTTTCCTAACCTTGGCCCTCATGCTGAGCCAGGGGTCATAGGGCTTTTTCTGTTTCTTAACCAGCCCACACTCCGTCGGATGTGCTACTTGACCATCAAGGAGATGTCTTGCATCGCTGAGGATGTTATCATCGTCACCAGCAGGTAAGTCTTGGGTCTGTGGATGCTCCTTTGATGGATGCCATTGCCACAGAGGCCGATTTTTCTCATGTGTATCAGGCAGTGAGACTTGTTTGACATAATGCCAGGCACCGTTTCCTCTTTTGTCTCCCTCATCTTTCAGTTACTGCTGCCCAACCCAGAGCAGCCTCTAGAGTGTACAGTTTCCCTTTTAATTATCTGGCCTTACCTTAGGCATAAATCCTTCCTTGCTTCCTTGATTCCTCTCAGTCAACTGAGCCAGCCTGGAACTTTCACAAAGACTTTAGTGAGTACCAAGAGAGAACACAAGAAAAATAGACATGGAGAGTGCAGGGGGTATAGAGACAGGCTCACTTACCACGTACTGGTTTCTGCTTTAGAATGAGTTATTCAGGGGACAGATGTGACTAAAATATAATCCCTGTCCTTTTTTTTAAAATAGATTTTATTTATTTATTTGACAGAGAGAGACACAGCGAGAGAGGGAACACAAAGCAGGGGGAGTGGGAGAGGGAGAGGCTGGCTTCCCGCTGAGCAGGGAGCCCTATGCGGGGCTTGATCCCAGGACCCTGGGATCATGACCTGAGCCAAAGGCAGACGCTTAATGACTGAGCCACCCAGGCGCCCCTCTAATCCCTGTCCTTAAGAACTAGGGCTCAGTTCTCTTATTCTTGCCACACTTTGGAGGTGGGGGGGATGTTGTACATTCCATTGCAGGTTCGTTTAGAAAATATTTATTGAATATCCACCAGTCCCTGTGTATAGCTCTGGGAATATAGCAGCAAATAAGACCGACATGAGCTCTACAGCCCGGAATTAATAGAGAAATAGCCAGGCAGACAGGCGTTAAGATATAATAGAGTTTATCATGGGATGTATGATAGACTGTGAGAACAGACCAGAAAGATATCCAACTTGAATTTGGATCAAGAAAGGCCTCCTAGACCTGTCTGAGTAAAGTCCTGAAGGATGACTAAGAAATAGCAGGAAAGTACTTGCTTTGGCAGCACATATACTAAAATTGGAATACAAAGAAGATTAGCATGGCCCCTGCTCAAGAATGGCAGGCAAATTTGTGAAGCATTCCATATTTTTTTAAAAGAAAAAAAGAAGCCACTGAAAACAAATCTCTTCCAGGCGCCTGGGTGGCTCAGTTGTTAAGCGTCTGCCTTCGGCTCAGGTCATGATCCCAGGGTCCTGGGATCGAGTCCTGCGTCGGGCTCCCCGCTCAGTGGGGAGTCTGCTCCCTCTGCCTTTGCCTGCCGCTCTGCCTACTTGTGCGCTCTCTATCTCTGTCAAATAAATAAACTCTTTAAAAAAAAAAAAAAAAAACTCTTCCAAAAACTCTTATTAAAAAAGAAAGAGAAAGGGAGGGAGGAAGAAAGAAAGAGAGAGAGAGAGAGAGAAGGGCGCCTGGGTGGCTCAGTCATTAAGCGTCTGCCTTTGGCTCAGGTCATAGTCCCAGGGTCCTGGGATCGAGCCCCTCATCGGGCTCCCTGCTCGGTGGGAAGCCTGCTTCTCCCTCTCCCACTCCCCCTGCTGTGTTCCCTCTCTTGCTGTGTCTCTCTTTGTCAAATAAATAAATAAAATCTTTAAAAAAAATAAATAAAATGTTAAAAGAAAAGAAGAAGAAGAAAGAGATAGACATCTAGATAGATAGAGAGCAGGACAGAGGTGGAGGGAGCCAGGAGTGCTCCAGCCTGAGGGAATAGCATATACAAAGGCTTGGAGAGGAGAGAGCATGACCTGTTTGGGGACTTCTCTGTTAAGGAGCTTATACTTGATGATAATGGGGAGTAGGAAGCCTTGGGAATGTTTTAATCCAAGCCAGAGAGTGACCTGGTCATTTTCGAGTTTTATATAATCTCTCTTGTTGCCGTGTGACTTTTGACCAGGAAGGAGTAAGAATACAGTGAGAGCACTAGTTAGGAGACTCGTATGGTAGTTCAGGCAAGCGTGGTGACCAGAGCTGGGGAGGAATGGATGGGGACATGTGCTTGGGAAGGGCCAGCCAATCTCCTATGTGTGGACGATGCCTTCTGCTCCCACAGCCTAACAAAGGACATGACTGGGAAAGAAGACAACTACTGGGGCCCAGCTGTGCGTGCCCTCTGCCAGATTACTGACGTGAGTCTCCTGCCCCCACCAAGC